GCCATTTCTGGGCAAGAGCAGGCATATTTTTTGTGTCATGTCGATTTATATATACATTTTAAAATGTAGATACTGGAACAACCCTGAAGTGCGACTTCTTTGCCCAGTACATGGGTCGACCCTGAAGTATGACTTCTCGACCCGGGACGTAGACAGACGTCCGGAATATTAATTGGTGTGTGTAGATGGGTGCCTTCTCACCACCTGACGGATGGGACGGTGGCAGGGTGGTGTGGGACCCTGCCATCCATGGGGTGATTGTGTGATTTCGGTTCGATTACCGGTGTTGGTTGTGCATCCAACGCGTCGGAATCTATATATTTTTGTTTTCTTTTCTCCCGCCGGGCGGTATACAATCTTCTCTACTCCCTGGGGCAGGGTGGCTGTCGTGTCCGACATGCTGAGGCGCGTTTTATGGTGCTGTGCCTCAGGAGGTTGGGTTCTCCCTCTCATCACAGATTTCCGGTGCCTGCCACGCTTGGAGTCACCGGTCGTGCTGACCGGATGTGGACTTGAAGGTGGAGTGGAGCGCCTGTTCGTCACTCCTGCTCTACCTGTTGTTCTCCGAAGTTGGACTTGAGCCATGCAGATGGACCGGCCACACGGACACGCTCTAAGACACCGCGGTTTTCTGATTGATGCGTGTCTGCCCGTTCTTGCGTGTCGGTTACCATTGTTGTTACATTAATGTCTATCTATCTGGGTTGCCGGGGCTCCACTTATGTAATGGTTGCAGCCGGGTCGGCTGATTTTTTTGTCATGTCACGCTCGCCTCCGGTACGATGATGTCACGTATGGTGACGTCATGCACAGGGGGCAGGACGGTGACATCATGTCCCCATGGTTACGGATATATTCAATTGTAATGTATTACTTGGTCTAAAATAAACACACAAATGTACTCAATACAGCTTAATTAGGTAAACCACATGCAACATTATTTTTCAGTCATTCCGAGCTCTCGGTTTGACTCTCGAGCCACTCCATTACATCCAGCCATCTCTCGGGATCCAACTGCATGGGATCGAAGGTGGAATCTTCTTCAGGTTTCATTGCAGCACCTTGAAGTTCAACGTTTGATTTCAGTTTCCTATCATCGTGGATCTTCTGATGCCTGTTCAGTTTTGATGACTGTGCAAATGCCTTTCCACACACAGAGCATGGGAATGGCTTCTCGCCCGTGTGTGTTTTCTTATGGTCTTGAATAATTAATGACCATGCAAAAGCCTTCCCACACACAGAACATGGGAATGGCTTCTCGCCCGTGTGTGTTTTCTGATGGTCTTGAAAAATTGATGACCGTGCAAATGCCTTCCCACACACAGAAAACGGAAATGGCTTCTCGCCCGTGTGTGTTTTCTGATGAGCTTGAAGAGTTGAAGAATGTGCAAATGCCTTCCCACACACAGTACACAGGAATGGCTTCTTGCCCATGAATGCGTGGGGCTGTGGAGAGTGTTTCTGCGCCATGTGAGCGTCGTAACAGTAGCTGTGTAATGGAGTCAAAAATATGCTATCGGCCGCAAGTATGTTTAGCGTTGAGTTTTGATTTTGTTAACTGCTAATACAAGAATGACACTCGCGTCGAATACAAGAAAATCACGCCAATTTGACGATGAACATGTTTAAAGATTATCCATTAAAATAGATTCACGGTGTATCGATGTCAGGAACCCGTCTGAAGATGTCCACACTAACTCTCCCGAAGCAAAGTCGCCTGTCTGTCGCCACGCAATTGTGCTCGCCAGGCTGCGTTGTCTCGTGGTAGAAGGGCGATCAGCAGAACGACGAGTCGAGCGTCCAGCCTAATCAAGTTTCCTCTCGAAATGGCATTGAGCTCTGCTTCTGAGCCGCCTTATAACTCCCCCCTAGAATCCAATCCTTTGTCTTTAAGGATATTAGCATTCGATTGTTAATTTTGAAGGTACAATCCGTATGTCTATTAACATACCGAAAGGTAATGTGCCCATTGTGCTTCATGCCTGAATATGTAAGAGCATCTCAGTGTGTAATTGCGCACTTATTTTGAATAAATGGGATTAGCGCTGGAAAAACACGTTCCCCATGTCCTCGATTTAAAGTGAATGCAGTCCCGTGGAGTTGCCCACACCCGCCGAGCTTCAGGAGTGAGCACGTACAGAAGCATTGTGACCACATTTGCAACGCAATCACTTTAACATCAGTAACCAAAATCCGATCTGGTACATGGCCTCCGCTTGGTCTGGTCTGTATCCATCATCACGCCGGAGACAAACAGCGAGTCATGGTTCGGCCAGCCACCACCTCATTTGCCGCAGCGACTTTAATAGCTGCTGTCAAACAACACTGTCACCAATAGTGGTTTATGGGTTAGGGTGTTAAGCGGACAATCAGTCGTTTTGGTCAAGGCGTATGGGATAATAGACACCTCTGTTATCCCATAAACACAATACACGGCAGCGGGAAGGCTGCCTTGTTGGGGAGATGTAGTTTGTTTAAGGAGCTGTGACTGGAGGTAGGCGATGTGACTGGGTGATCACACGGATTCCGAAACATAGCAGAGACGATACGATCCACTGCGCTCCATCTCCCTACATGGACAACGACATTGTGGTGCCGCAGCAGCGGAGCCCTCCTGCCGACTCCATGGCCTCGACGCCGCCACCTCCGAGCGACGGGGCCGACGCTGCTCTTCCCTCACCACCCCCCACATGAACACACACACACACCCCCACATAGAGCCCCGAGGGAAGGTCACCTGGCCGACAGGTTTTCCCCCAGAAGCCCTCACATGGGACCAAACTTTACGGTTTCCTGCGACCAGGGAATTGGGCGACCTCCCCCGAGGCTAACGTGCACCGCGGCGCCGTGACTTGGGTTGTAATCATGTGGCAACGACGGGGCTGCTGAGCCAACGCGGATAGAAAACACCCACAACACACACGGGTCAGCAGGCAGGTAGGGGGGGGTACGGAGTCACGAACGGCGGGAAAAACAGGGCCGGTCCTCTGATTGGTGGGACAGATGCGCTTGTTTAGAGGGTGAAAAGCGGACGTCTGAGAGGGCACCGGTCCGGGGAGAGTGGCGGGAAATCCGAGCCACCTGATTGGACGGGAGGCCAGCAGATCAGCGCTCATTTATCTTTGATGTAGAGTACAATAAAAAAGGGTAGAGAAGGTAGGGAGAGTTAGTTCGTGTTCTACTCAAGCCAGCACTTGGGGCGGTCGACTTCCCATCCACTCGAACGTCCGTGTGACGAGTCGAAGTGCAGCGAGGATCCGACCTAGCAGCTCCGTACGAGTCGAACCGTGAGTTCCCGAGAGTAAGATATCGAGGCCATTGGGAGATTGTCTTAGGAGAGTGATTTGAAAGAGGCGATACAGATCGGGTCTTAGACCATCGGGAGATAGGTTAGACCTGCCCTGCTGACTCAAACTGACTCTGGTAATTTAGCCTCGGACTCGCTGAGAATAAACTGCTGGGGATCAATAAACCTTGTCGTGTGGTTTCTGCGAGGGTGGAACGGATGCATGTTGGTGTGCGCCGTGTGTTTGTGCATGAGGGTGTATTTACTCACGTGTTTGCGCTTGCCCATGCGTGTAGCTCGTGGTTAGCGTGTGCATGTGGTGAGCGGCGGCAGACTCGTACCGGGGCACGTGAGATTACTCATACGCCCTTTCGTTTAATGTGTGCGTGAGGCTAACGGGCGGCGTACACGCGAGATTATTCGTGCGACCTTTTGTTTAGCGTGTGCGTGGGGTGAACGGGCGGCGTGCCTGTGAGTTTGTTCATATAGTCCCTTTAAATAAATCTCCGAGACAACCCCCCAATCGGCTGCGTGTGTGCGAGTGACGTCCCTGCCCTCTGACCCCCGACCCCGAGTCCCGCGCGCGCGATTTGTGCGTGGCACGGAAGAGGAGCGACGTCGGATTTCGAGTGAGTGGGTGTGATTGAGTGTGCGCGGCGATTATGTGAATTGATCCTAGGTGGCTAAGCGCCAGCCACGAATCATGCCCCGAGGGGCCGCAGCAAAGGGGGGGGGGGGGGGGAGTCGGTGAGCAGTAACCCTCCCCAGGACACGGAAGAGGGGAGCAGTGGATCCCACGTGAGCGAGGAGCCGGGGGTCAGCCTCTCCAACAACTGGAGCCTGGTTATTAAGCTGCGCGAGCGTACTGGCAGGCTATTATTTATTTATTTTATAGGTAATTGAATTTGTATTGCAGCAAATTACTACAACAGACGAGGCGAGGTACACTGCCGTCATTGTCTTTAAACATCCTCACTTTTGTTTTCTTTCACTGTAAAAACAAAGGACAAGTATGGCCACCCATCATCATCACTCCGTTGTGTCATTGCTTCAGTGTTGTTTGAGGGTGTTTTGACCCCCTCGTCCAAGCTGGCCAAACACCTCGACAGAGGTCTGCTGATGGACCAGCTCTGGGCGCACCCACGTGGTGGACACGTGGTGGACAAGGGTGGACACAGGGTGGACACAGGGCGAGACATGTGGGGTATTGAAAACAAAATCTAATACTTATTTGATGTCAGCAGGTAAGGGCCACCGAGCTACAGAGGTCTGTGCTCGCCGCGCCGCTCAATAAATAATCGAAACGAGAAAATATACAGTGACGAATCACGAGGAGAAAGAAAACAGCGTTGGCTTTTTCGCAATCGATATGCAGACTCCTCACTCTCCCATCATGCTGAGATCTCGGTGGCTACTTTGTCCCAGGCTTGGGAGCCGATTGCAGAGCTCACTCTTGCAGCCCCGCCCCTCCCCGTCGGCAATCACGCAGGGTGGCGGTGGGTGGGGTGGTGAGTGGGGTGGGGGGGGGAGTTGAGGGCAACTGCCAGGTGCGGAACGACAGCCATCTCCATCAGGCAGTGACATCCGCTGACACTTTTGTCCGGGCATGATTGTTGGCCAGGGGCGAGGCTCGTGGGGGGCAACGGCCGACAATCGACCTGGCGAGCGATCGAGCCAGTGGAAGAGTCGGGGCCAGCTTCCCAGCGAGCCGCCGTCACTTGCACGTGTACTCCTCTGCCCTCCCGCTGCACGTGCCGCAGAGCACATGGCAGCACCAGTGGAACTTGCAGTTGCAATTCCACGAGCGCGTGTACTCGCGCGTGTTGTACCCGCGGCCGCAGCAGCGCAGCTCGCAGCCGTCGGCGTGCAGCGACGTGCGGTTGCACAGGCGGGCCGCGCGTGCCCAAGCTGCCCGTCAGCAGGTTCTCCTCGCAGTAGTTGGGCGAGCGCTCGGTGAACACGAGCTCCGTGTCGAGAGGCTTACGGTGGGCGCGCGAGCGTTTCAACTTGAGGAAGAGGGGGTAGCGGTAGCGGCCGCCGTGCACCGGCTCCACGTGGACCGCCTCGTCGTACTTGTCCTTGAGCGCGGAGCCCACCTCGCGGAACTTGGGCAGCGTGGTCCAGCACGTCTTGGTGGTGCACGAACCCGACACGCCGTGGCACTTGCACACCGGCTTCATCTTCTCCTCCAGGACCTGGCGCCGAGTGGGGGAGAGAGAGACAGAGGGCGGGAGAGCATCGGCGAGGTAGGTGGGGACAAGTGGACAGAGAGAGACAGAGAGAGGTGAGCGGTGAAGGCATCGCTAACGGCGGCGTCGCTCGTACGAGTGAAGGAGAGGAGGTCAAATGTTTTTGTGTTTCTTACAAAACCGCTGTTGGCGTTGATCCTCTCCGATCCGCTTTGTGCCAGCTAAATGCTGCGGAAGAAATAGGCATTGTGCCGGAAAAATGACGAGAAGAGGTAGGAGAATGGGGGGGGAGAGGCGAGTAGAGTGGGGAGGGAAGGGGTGGGGTGGCGGGTGGAGAGGTCAAGCGAGGGAGTGTGGGTAAGAAGGTTCTGGACGCCTGGGGGGGGGGGGGGGGGTAGAAATGGAGTGTGTGAGCTTGGGCAGAACGCCTCACTAGAAGGGATGACGGCCCTCTGCTGAGATAAAACGATGGAGTGCAGCCACAGGAGGGAACGTGCCTTGTGGGTAGCGCTGGGGTGGATGTTGGTTGTTGGGATGGGTCGTTGTAAGGTGTTGAGAAGAGGGTGGCCCGATGTTCACTCCCTCGCCTGGTCTACAGGAGGTCGTGGATTCCATCCAAAACCCTGACGATACCTGCTGCTGTATGAGTCAGGGTCTCTCATCACCATCATCACAGTGGCTAAGAGATGTTGACTACCTCGCCTGGTATACAGGTGGTCGTGGGTTCTATCCCCACCCTGACGATGCCTGCTGCTGTATGAGACAGGGTCTCTCATCATCATCACAGTGACTAGATGTTGACTACCTCGCCTGGTCTACAGGAGGTCGTGGATTCGATCCCCACCCTGACAATACCTGCAGGTGCTGCTGCTGTATATTTTGGAGACTGCTTCTCTCTCTCCCCGTGGTCGCGTGGATTTTTCTGCGGCTCCTCCGGCTTTTCCAGACTGTTGGGGCAAGTGCTGAGGAAGCGACTTGCGAAGGCTGACACGGCACACGAGGGGGTGGGTGGCCAGCAGCACCACGGCCGGCCGCCTTTGTCTCCCCGGCGCTAGCGATGTTTTCACATGCCGCTCATTTCACGCTGGGTCGGCCCAGGACCAGGTGTTGGGAATCGAACTTTCGGTTATTTGACGTATCCCCCCAAACTATCGCTTAGAAAATATACGGGGTGGCGGTAACAGCGCCCCATTACAATCCGCAGGACGCGTTAAGTGACGCAAACACACTCGGGGGTGACGCATTAAACAACGGACAAACCCGTTTTAATTCAACGTTCACAAACACGCGGGTTGTTTTAAACGCAACAAAAACTCCCGCCGTTGGGATATCGGCAGATTTTTTTTTCCCACCCACCCGTGTCTCCCCCCCCCCCCAAAACCCCCCACCCCACACACACACAAAAAAAACCCCAACGCAACGCATTTCAAAACATTTCTCGGTCAAAATCTTCGCAGGGGAAACGACGACCCCCAAAGAAACCAGAAGGGTGTCCAAGCTCCCTGCGGCAGCGGCTACGCAGCGATGCAACTCGACCGAGGTGGGGGGGGGCTGTGCGGGGAAAACGTCAACCCAAACTTGCAATGTAACCGAGTGCCCCCCCTTTACCGTTTACAACTGAAATGTATTCGTGGTAATTTTTACTGGAAAAAAAAAATGCATTTCCGGCAAATATAAATCTCTTTTTTTTTTCGCACCGCCGTATTCTCCGGATCGTCGTTCCAAGATGCGCGTGGGAAGTTAACTTTGCGGAGTAGTTTCGAGAGAAAAAAAACACAGACCCCCCCCCCCACTTCGCTTTTCCACAAAAATACAAGGTTGGTCCTTCCTGCAAAAATGCGGGAAACAAAGGACGTATCTATATATACGTATAACACACACAAAGTACAACAAAAAGAGCGTGTGTTTTACAATGAACGCAACACGGCACACCACGGCGGACCGCAAGACGATTTCCCAGACGACGTCACAAGCCGTCTTGCCGAGCAGGTAGCTCTCGGCATCGTCGTCCGTATCACGAGACACGCTTAACCCACCCGCCCACCCAAGCCGCTTCTCTAAACCACGGCACGGGGTGGGTTCAAAGGCAGCGGCTTGCAACACGGAGGACGCGGGCCTGGCCGCCCCCCCCCCCCCCACCACCCACCGCGGTGGTTAACGGCGGCGGCGGCGGTAGCAGCGACGGTGGCAGTCGTGGTGATAGTGGCAAGTCACGCTCGCGGTCAGGGCCGGATTAAGGCACGGGGGGCTTTAGGGGCCGCAGCCCAGGGGCCTCCGCCAGCTGGAGGGCCTTCCAGAGGTTAAGTTAAAAGTTGTTTTGTTTGTGAATGCTGAATTTTGTTTGTCGTCAGCCTTGTAAAAAAATAATCTTTTTTTTTTTACTTTGTTTTCCTTTTGAAAATTTTACCGGGGGCCTCACAGTACCTGTAGCCCAGGCGCCTACACAATCTTAATCCGGCCCTGGTTGTGGTGAGCGGTGATGGCGACGATGACGGCGGTGGTGGTGGTGGTGCTACTTATGGCAATTAGTTTAACACGTAGGCTTTCGCGACCAATATCATCCATATTAGAGGCATTTGGGTTAGATCGCGTAAATATATAAATGTGTCATTTGTGGCTTGGCTCTCCAACACACAATCGGTGTGCTGTACTAGTACACTACACTATACACTACTATATACACTACACTACTATACACTACACTACATTATACACTACTATACACTACACTACACACTACACTACACTATACACTCGTGCTGTACTAGTGACGAATTGGCCACGTTCTGTTTACGTGACAACCCTTACTAGTTGGTTGTGTCGGGTGGTGGCGGGTTTAACGACACAACATTTATATATTTACACGATCTAACCCAAAAACCCTCTTTGTTGGCTTATGGCAATGAGTGGGGGATGTTGAGACGATGGCAGTGGTGATCAGCGTCAGTGGTGGTAGTCGTGGTGGTGTCGTCGGTGACTGTGGTGGCCGTGGAGATGGCCGTCGTGATAGTGGTGGTGGTGTCGGCGATAGTGGCGGTAGCGATGGTTCTGTCGGTAGTGATGGCGCTGCCCGGTAGCGGTAACGGACATCAGCCAATAGCCACACGTCAGCACATCCGCACAAAACTACAGAGAGCTCGTGGCCGCAACCTCACTACCACCGTCACCTCCACCGTCACCTCCGCAGACGTCGGGAAAGTTTGCCGATGGACCGTGGTGCAGGTGACGGTGGCGGCGGAGCGACGTCAGGCCCTGCTGGATCCAGTCCGGCAGCTGCACCTCCACCATGACCGCGGGCAGGTCGTCGCAGCTGGATCGGTCACGCACGTGGACACCGTCGGAGGTGCGCCTGTCGTCGAAAGCCATCGCACGGTGGCGCAGCGATGCCGGAGGCGGTGTTGCTTCCGCCACCGGTGACGGTGACACCGTCGGTGCTGCTGCTGGTGGTGGTGGTGGCAGTCGTGGCGATTCCGGCAACGATGTCGGCGAAGCGGCAAAATTCGGCTTCGGAGTAATGGGTAACGGTGGTGGCCGTCGTTTGTGGCGACGAGACTCATCGCGGATTTCCCGGTTTTCTCGATCGGGTCGATGCAGAGGCGTGCCCAATTGGGCGGTGCAGTCTCATCCGAGGTGGCTTCCAGGCCGGCGATGCCACCGCCACCACCACCACCGTGACACCGTCACCACCACCGTGACACCGTCACCACCACCATGACACCGTCACCACCACCACCACCACCACCGTGACACTGTCACCACCACCACCGTGACACCGTCACCACCACCACCGTGACACCGTCACCACCACTACCGTGACACCGTCACCACCACCGTGACACCGTCACCACCACCACCGTGACACTGTCACCACCACCACCGTGACACCGTCACCACCACCACCGTGACACCGTCACCACCACCACCGTGACACCGTCACCACCACCACCGTGACACCGTCACCACCACCACCGTGACACCGTCACCACCACCACCGTGACACCGTCACCACCACCACCGTGACACCGTCACCACCACCGTGACACCGTCACCGCCTACGCGACCTCCCGAACAATCGCCGCAGTCTCCGCAACCGGCCCCGTACTCAATCGACGACGGACGCGACAGCGGCGGCCGCTTCGCCGACCAGGGTACCACCGGCGTCACCTGCGACGAGGTCAGCCGCCGCCGCTGCGGCGATCTCCACATCGTCGTCGACGCCTCCGCTTGTACAGTCCCAGTCGACGCCACCCCAGTCGAAGCCACCCCCGCCTCTGCCTCGGCCGGCTCTCCCCGCGTCGAGACCTCCGCCGCTTCCGCCTCCCGCGTCGCCACGGGCGAAGTCGCATCCGCCGGGGCCAGCCGCGTGGCCGCGACGCCCCGCTCCGCCTCCGTCCCTCGGCACCGTCGCTCCGACGCACCCCTCCGCGGCGGCGTCGTCGCCGCCGCCGCCGCCGTCGCCGGCGAAAACGTCGCTTTCGTCCGGCCTCCGCTGCTCGACCGACGCGGCGTCGGGGAGCGCCCGCCGCCGGTGCCGGCGGCCTGTCGCGCTCGCTCCCGCCCCCTTCTTCAGCGGCGGCTCCGCGGGAGGCTCCGCGCGACCGCCCGCCAGGCCGACGGCGTTCCTCCTGTCGTACCTCTCCTGCCCGAGCCTCGCCTGCTCCGCCACCGACGCCCGGCAAACGCGCCCGTCGCGCCGCCGTCCCCTCGCGCCGGGCGCCCCCGGCGCCGCCGCCGTCGCCGGAGCTCTCCCGTCGTCCGAGCGGTTCCTGCAGGGCCGTAGAACCGCCGGCTCGCGCGGGCCGCCGTCGCCGTCGTCGTCGTCGTCGTCGTCGTCTTCGCCGTCCGTCACGAACCGCACTTCCAGGCGGCGCGCGTACCCCATCGCGGCGCGGAAAGCGAGCGGGCGGCGCCCGCAGGTGCCCCGTGTAGAGCGGGGTCAGGAAGTCTTCGAAGGCGGCGGCGCTCGGCCCCGGCACGCGCAGCTGGTTGAGGAGGCGGCACAGGGCGGAGCCGTGCGGCTGGCTGATGAAGATCAGGTCCCCGTCCGCCATCGGGGCCCCTCGCTCGCACCTGGGGGTGAGCGCCGCACACGCGCGGACGTAGAAGTTACGTCGCGACACACGGCGGTGACACTCTCGTGCCCAAACAAGCGGAGGCCTGGGTTCGATTCCTGACTCTGGCACCTCCCGTATTAAATCACTCAACGGGGTTACACGCAGCAGCATCGGCGACGTCATCCCCTACCTGCTGTAAAAAAACCTGGAAGGACCCCGTCCTGACAAAAAAAAGTCTTGGTTGTGAGGCTTTCCTGGGTCAACGAGCAAAATACGAATACACCACACACACCACACACACCACACGCACACCATGCCTGGGCACACACACACACACACCACACACACACCACACACACACCACACACACAACACACACACACACACCACACACACACCACACACACACCACACACACCACACACACACACCACACACACCACACACACACCACACACACACCACACACACACCACACACACACCACACACACCACACACCACACACACCACACACACACACCACACACACCACACACCACACACCCACCACACACACACCACACACACACACACACCACACACACCATACACACACCACACACACACCACACACACACACACACACCGCACACACACCACACACGCCACACACACACCACACACACACCACACAAACTACACACACTACACACACACCACACACACACACCACACACACACAGTCACACACACCACACACACACAGTCACACATACCACACACACACCACACACCACACACACACACCACACACACCACACACACACCACACACACACCACACACACACCACACACACACACCACACCCCACACACACCCCACACACACCACACACACACACACACACTCACAACGCACACACCACACACACACCACACACACACACACACACACACCACACACACACCACACACACCACACACACACCACACACACCACACACACACCACACACACCACACACACCACACACACCACACACACTACACACACCACACACACCACACACACTACACACACCACACACACCACACACACCACACACACTACACACACCACACACACCACACACACACCACACACCCCACACACACCACACACCTCGCAGCAGCAAGATGGAGACCTCGGGCCCAATCAACAGCGCCCAGAAGCCCCCGGAAGCCCCCTGAAGCCCCTCCCCCTGAAGCCCCCTCCCCCTAAACCCCCCTCCCCCTAAACCCCCCTCCCCCTGAACCGCCTCCCCCTGACCCCCCTCCCCCTGAAGCCCCTCCCCCTGACACCTCGTGGCTCTCAAATTCGTCATCTTTGCTCGGTCCACCACCCAGCGACTCAGCGCTCATCCATCTTCACGCGACCACTCAAAGTGATTCACCCACCCAGCGTCTCAATCACCCACCCAGCGTCTCAATCATCCACTCAACCACACGTTGATTCACCCACCCAGCGTCTCAATCATCCACAGGTTAATGCACCCACCCACCCGCCATCTCACTCAAGCCAAGCCACTCAACTTTTGCCAATTAGCCCCCTGCCCTGGGTCTCCGTAGTTTGCTCACACGTGGTTTTAAACACACAAATAATTCAGCACTTGTAACTTTCTCATCATCTGAACTCAATAATCTAACCACTCTGCACCACCACCATCTCACCCAGCCACGAGACTTCTCTCCTGCTCTCCAGAGACCTCACCTGCGGGATAACTTGTTGTTGTTGTAGTTTTGTTGTTGTTGGTATTATTAAACGATATAAAATCCCTGAATTTTCAGAGCGGGTTGGAACGCAGCCAAATTGCTACGTGATCGTGTTTCCTGTGGGCGTGGTCGCTGCCCCCCGTGGGCGTGGTCTCTGCCCCCCCCGTGGGGGCGTGGTCTCTGCCCCCCCCCCCCCCCGTGGGCATGGTCTCTGTCTCCGGTGGGCGTTGGCGCTGTTCCCATGGGCGTGGTCTCTGCCACCTATGGGCGTGGTCGGAGCGCCCCGTGGGCGTGGTCTCTGCCACCTATGGGCGTGGTCGGACCGCCCCGTGGGCGTGGTCTCGCTCGTCCACTTTCGCTTCGCTGGGATCGCTGTCTGCTCCTCAGCAGCAAGCACGGCGTGTACAGTGCAAGTCGCAACAACACGTACAGTGTGCACTGTGCTTGCGGTACGTACAGTTCGTGACGTGCACTTACAGTGCATACAGTGTGTGCGGTACACCTGAAGTACACACATCCCTGTCTCTCTCCACGTGTCTCTCTCCACGTGTGTCTCTCCACGTGTCTCTCTCTCCACGTCTCTCTCTCCGTGTCTCTCTCCACGTGTCTCTCTCCACGTGTCTCTCTCTCCACGTGTCTCTTTCCACGTGTCTCTCTCTCCGTGTCTCTCTCCACGTGTCTCTCTCTCCCCGTGTCTCTCTCTCCCCGTGTCTCTCTCCACGGTGTCTCTCTCCACGTGTCTCTCTCCCCGTGTCTCCACGTGTCTCTCTCCCCCGTGTCTCCACGTGTCTCTCTCCACGTGTCTCTCTCCACGTGTCTCCACGTATCTCTCCACGTGTCTCTCTCCACGTGTCTTTCTCTCCACGTGTCTCTTTCCACGTGTCTCTCTCCCCGTGTCTCTCTCCACGTGTCTCTCTCTCCCTGTGTCTCTCTCCACGTGTCTCTCTCCACGTGTCTCTCTCTCCCCGTGTCTCTCTCCACGTGTCTCTCTCTCCGTGTCTCTCTCCACGTGTCTCTCTCTCCCCGTGTCTCTCTCCACGTGTCTCTCTCCACGTGTCTCTCTCTCCCCGTGTCTCTCTCCACGTGTCTCTCTCTCCGTGTCTCTCTCCACGTGTCTCTCTCTCCCCGTGTCTCTCTCCACGTGTCTCTCTCCGTGTCTCCCTCTCCCCGTGTCTCTCTCCCGTGTCTCTCTCCCCCGTGTCTCTCCCCGTGTCTCTCCACGTGTCTCTCTCCACGTGTCTCCCTGTCTCTCTCTCCACGTGTCTCTCTCCACGTGTCTCTCCGTGTCTCTCCCCGTGTCTCTCTCACAGTGTCTCTCTCCGTCTCCACGTGTCTCTCTCCACGTGTCTTCTTCCCGTGTCTCTCGCCGGTCTCGCTCCCTGTGTCTCTCTCCCCGTGTCTCTCCACGTGTCTCTCTCCACGTGTCTCCCCGTGTCTCTCCCCGTGTCTCCCCGTGTCTCTCTCCACGTGTCTCTCTCCCCGTGTCTCTGTCTCCCCGTGTCTCTGTCTCCCCGTGTCTCTCTCTGTCTCCCCGTATCTCTCTCTGTTTCCCCGTGTCTCTGTCTCCTCGTGTCTCTCTC